GAATACTGTCTTGTCTCAATTTCTCGTGTCTCTTGTCCCATCCAATTCCCACTCCCCCCTCCAGGGTCTGCGTTGAATATCCCGCGGGTCGGGACAGCAGGTGGCTATCTCGAGACTGTGATTTTATTGGGAGGAGCAAAGCACATGTCCCTTTCTCCCTGTGAGATTCTGTCTCAGGAGAGCTTCACTGTCTTTCCAGAATCTTGTCAATAAAAGGGAGTGTGCTGGGAGTCTCCAGGCTGCCTCCTGACTGAGGGCCCCAAAGCCATGAAATGATAGAGGGCAATGAAGAAACTTAGGTTGGACTGCTCAAGAGAACTTGCATCCAGTGATTTTAAATACATCATAAATGAGAGCTGTTTCTCCAACTTTGGGTGACCTAATTTGCTGTAGAAGGGGTTTCTTTGACACCTTTTTTTTAACCTAAGTCACCAAGTTGTACATTGGATCTCCAGAACTTATTCATCTTGTAACTGAAAGTTTGTACACTTTACGAACCTCTCCCCATGTCTCTCTTCTCCCAGCTGCTGGTAACCACCATTCTACTCTCTGTTTCTATACGTTTGACTATTTTAGGTTCCACATATAACTGAGATTATGTGGTATTTGCCTTTCTGTGCCTGGCTTATTTTGTTTAGCAAAATGTCTTCAAGGTTCATCCATGTTGTTAGAAACGGCAAGATTTCCTTTTTTTTAAAAAAAGGCTGAATAACGGTGCATTGTGTGTATATACTGCATTTTCTTTATTCATCTATTGATGGACATTTAGGTTGTTTCTGTAGCTTGGATATTGTGAATAACACACAAAGAACACAGGAGTTCAGGTATCTATGAGATCCTGATTTCATTTCTTTCTTTCTTTTTTTTTTTTTTATAAATACCCAGAAGTGGAATTGCTGGATCATATGGTAGTTCTATTTTTAATTTTTGGAGGAACTGCCATACTGTTTTCCACAGTGGCTATAACAGTTTACATTCCCACCAACAGTGTACCAGGTTTCTCTTTTCTCCACAACCTTACCAACACTTATCTTTGGCTTTCTGAATAATAGCCATCCTAACAAGTATGAGGTAATATCTCCTTGTGGTTTCAACACAGTACAGTACTGGCATGAAAACAGATAT